TCCTTTCTGGTGCGACCAGCTCGAAATAATCGCTTCTATGCAAGCAGTAAGGTAAAATGCATAATCATGACGAGCATAAAGTAACAATATAATATACAGACACATAAGTCACTCTACATAGTAGGCTCTTGAACTCGAATTGAAATCTCTTTCACAACGGACATCTCTTGCCAGCACTTATCCGCCACCAACCTCCGTGTACTCGGCGACAGCTGCAGCACATCCAGCTTTTTCGCGCTCCTCTCCTTCAGCATAACGCAAAACGCCGTACCGAAGAAGCTTCTATACCCAGACTCGTCTGTCTGCAGCACATTGATAGCAAATTCAAGGTGCACGAGGTTGAGCAGCGTCTGCTCCCTCTCCTCTGTATCATCCAACTTCACCACCTTCTTCCCCTCCTTGAGCATCGTCCGCAGCTCGACGAGCTTCAATTCATCCGAACCGCGAGCGACGGCCCTTGGAGCTCCGCAAGATTCGTCAGGGAATGCAGCAGGTCGAGGAGCGTCTCGGAAAACACTGGGTTGGTGAGGGTGAGCATCGTGATTTTGGTAGTGCACTTCGAGTGCGTAAGTAGTACAGCGACCGAAATGAAAGTACTGTCCGCGATGAGGCCCACAGTCTTCGAAGACAGTTTGCTGTTGATAGTGACAGTACGAAGGGAAGGAAGATCGAATGAATCCAGGAGCGCGCCATCTTGGACTGTCAGGAAGCGCCGCTTTTCATCGGTAATGAGGTTATCCTTCCGGGACAGCACCTCGAACCCTTGCAAGACGATTTTACATCGCTTTGGGTCTAGGGCCTTCGTGATTCCCTGAACTGTGTAAACCTTTTCGTACACTTCGCCAGGAATGGGCTTCAGCCCGAGGGAAAGATGGCTAAGATTCCGCAGAAGAGACGGGCGGAGCACGCATAGACATGCCATCAACGAAGGTACACAGGAGATCTTCACCTTTGCCCATCGCGACGCCTGTTTAACCAGGAGGAAGACATGCTTTTTGGCCCAGTACGCCTGGCCCGGGCCGTTGGTCTTGTTCGTTATGGTACCATCTGGAGCCAGATCCGGTACACTGATGTTCAGACACAACTCTTGCCTCTTCGACCGACTGACCACCTCTTCGAAAGCCTTGAACAACCCGCCCGAAAAACGGAATACTTTAATCGAGCGGCGCTCTGGCCCAATGTTGCGGATATTGATTTTGCACCACATGGCGGGGCATTCAAGAATGGTGTCGTGCCACGCCTTGCATACCAGCGCGAGGGTGTATTGGGGACGCTTCCCGAATAGGTTGTAGACCATGGGTTCATCGGTGGCCATCATTTCGAAGACGATCAAGAGTGCGGTTTTGGGGAGACGGGCAAAATTGAACCCGCGTAGGACACTATACAAGGCGTCGCGCGTCTTTTCCAGCCGCGCAAGAACACCGTCGCGCCCAGTGCTTTCGACGTGACCGGCGGGGAGATCATTAAACGCATTGAGCGCGTCATCAATAATAGTAATGGCCTGGGCGACGACACCCTTATCAGCCTGGGTAAGGGCTGCGTTGGAATGGAGGATGGTCAAGACGGGATTGCCGCGCCTTTCGTACTCCTCCGCTAGCTGGTCGGCTTGACGATCCAGTTGGCGAGCCTTGAGGTTTGTTACATCAACCGATTTTCTGGGCACCTGTAGAACATCACATTAGCAGTAACTCAACGAGAGGAATTCACATACTGTAGGTCCCCGAATTATTTTCCCAGTTCGGGCATCTTTCTTCGGCATGAACAAGGTGGCCATGTTGGTCGAGTCCCGATGGTGAATGTCGGAATATTGAGAGCAACAGGCCCATGCTTGTGCGCTTATATAGTCTCGTGATCATCATTGTTTGTATACACCTGTTACGGGAAGTGGACGCCTATTTCCCCATTGTTCGCCAGTTCAGTATAGCAAGTAGTCCACAGTATCGGCTTACGTTCAAAGGGAAGGAGAAACGTTCCTGGGTCAAAAGCAAAATTAGTGTGGCGCAACTGCGACGCGGGAATTTGTTAGTTGTACATGGAGATGATTGTAAAACAACTTACACTTGGCCTGCCGAATTGGTGAGTTGTAGAAAACGCTGAAACGTCTCCGGTGGGGATGAGTCGCTAGTACACTGCATATCGTCAGTAACGCGATATGGGGAGGAGCTTGCTTGTGTACCTCGAGTTCAGATATCGTAGAAATTGGTCCCAGAAAGCGCGGAGTAGGTAGTACGTGCACAGATTAGAAAGCAGAAGAGAAATAGTCCAAGGTGCAGAACTATGACTCGTTGAAGATGAAATAATTTTGTGTAGAGGTGACCATAGTACGTACGAAAAACAAATGGTGGGAAGTGACGAGCAATGGGGCGTAGACTCAAGGTTAGCTGATATCGTTCCTGCGGCATGAAGAGGTCGTCAGTGGGGGACTGCCGCGCAATTCCGGGCCGTTTATTAGAGGATATTCCGTCCTCGGGAGATGCGGGAAGATCTACGAGGGGCCAGTATGAGGACCGCCTTCCTTCACAGCCCATTCGTTGCCTGTAGATATACTCAGCGAGTGACATGGATATCCTGAAGGACAGCGGGGCGCCAGATTTGCTGGCAATACATCTTTCCACTGAAGTGAGGAGAAAACGCGTACCATAGCATGATAGAAAATGGCACGTAATTTCAGACGTGTTTTTCCATGAGACCAGTGTTCCAAGAAAGCGGTATAAGGGCCTGGGGGCAACTTCGCGATTGAGCGACTGAAGTTAGCGGCAAGGAAACCACGCGTGAATTCCGCATTTCGTCGATCAGAAGGGGGACTCCCGACGCTGCGTGCAGAGAGCGCGCATTCACTCAGGCAACGTCGTTAGCTATACAGTAAACGAGGTTGTCATGTCGTGAAAGTTTTGGTCAAGGTTTTTGCCTCGGACCGGAATCCCGACTGGGCGGACTGGAGGCCGAGGCCGAGACCTTCTTTTACCCCACCCACTGACTCTCACCTCATAATGACAGTCACCTTTCATTCACACGGACTGCATCTCTTCGCGGACGATATGGTACTACTGTGGGAACGCCATACTCGAATCGGGCCATCTGATGAAGCCCCTTTGAATGAGTGCTCTTCAATTTGTAATTTCTTCCTCTCTATCCTTCCTTCTTCCTCCGACCCCAAGCATCCAGCATGGCCTCCCCGCTTCTCTCCAATCGCCTGTTTCTTACGCTCGTCCCTGCTCTAGTAGCAACTGCCGCCATGGCGTACCCGCTCCTGAAAGCAAGCATGCCTTTAACCAGCGGCCCACGCAAGCATTCTCTAGCGGATCTGCCTGCGGATGTCAAGTCCCAAGTCGACGAGGTGTACCCAGAAGATATCTTTCCCGGGGGCGCCTATGTGGATCTTCCCATTGGACGGGTAAGTCGGATAGGTGCATCCCCGGAGGTCGTATCTTTACCGTGAATTCCAGGTGCGCTACTGGATATTCGGCCCTGAGACAGGCCGGAAGGTAGAGAGCTCATCACGTCTACACTGTATAAGCTCGTCCAATGTATCCTTCGATGACAGGTTGTCTTCATCCACGGCTTATCTATTCCTTCTTTCATCTGGAAAGACGTCGCTCCAAAGTTCGCCGAAGCTGGCCATCGCGTTATGCTGTTCGGTAAGGTGCTACTTCCTACCCCTCTTTAACACGCTCTGACTCCAGGAGTAGATCTTTATGGACGCGGCTACTCTGATGCGCCAGTGTCCCTCTACAATATCAGCCTTTACACGACGCAACTAGCCCTCCTCATGCAACACGTCCATTGGGATAAGGCCAGTGTAGTCGGCCTATCTATGGTAACGTCCTTCTACCTCTAGCAATCACGGTCATCGGATCAGTCGCAATACAGGGCGGTCCTATCGCAGCTGCCTTCACAACTCAGTTCCCCCAACTGGTGGATGACAAGGTCGTGCTCCTCGCGCCTGCTGGACTTTTCGGGGTAAAATGCACAATATTTCATTCTTTCTCCGTCTAATGCGTGCAACCATTCAGTCAGAAATACTCCCCCGCGGACTCAACCTCCTCACGTCTTCACTTTTCCTTCCGATTGTAAACGGTGGCATCGTTAGAGTCTGTTTTCAATAAGCCTATCGAAATGTTTACTAACGCGTCAATAACAGAGCTCTTCTCGACGACAACTGAAACGTCCTTCCGAGCCTATAGACCGTGTACGCCCTGTCCACTTCTCGATCAACCCACGTTTTCACAGTGCTCGTTAGATCGTACAACTGCAACGCGCCTACTTGCCGTACTTCAATGCAGTCTTACTTTTATCTATGCGCTACGGCCCTCTCCGCGGACAAACCGATCACTACAAATCGCATGCTTTCAACGGGCGGACCGTTCTCATCCTTCACGTACGTTTGTCGTCTTTCCCCTCAACGTATTCTCACCTACGATTGAAACTTCAGGGAACGAAGGACTCTGTAGTACCGCCCAGATTTGCGCGCGAGATACAGGCTCTGTTACCGGAAGGCGCCAAGTGCGAGGTAGTGGACATACAGAATGCAGATCATGACTTTACTATAAGTCATCCTGAGGATGTATTGGTGGAGTTGAAGAGGTTTTTTGCGTGACCAGCCATCATTTGATGACTTGAATGTTCCTTCGAATGTCCGCCTTTGCCAAAACTGTACGTTACTGTATGAGTCCTTCCAAACTGGTATAATGTTCCGAGGAAATGCTATGACCTTCGCAAGTTCAAATGTGCTCGATGCTTGCTACTGATGATCGAACAACAAAAATGATTCGAATTTCGACTGCTTGTGCAACTTGTGGAGAGGCGGAGAGCCAAGAAGAGTGCTTAGTGCTGAGGGGAATCAGACAACGTTATTGAAATTGTGACAATGGATGGATCCAGGATGGCGGGGGCCATTACTGGGTGCCCACCCAGGCCCCTCTTCCCCTCGGGCCTCGAGTCTCGACTCTCGAGATCCAGCGGAGAATTGTAAAAAAGCCTAGTAGTCCGGAACAGGAGCACTCTCTGACTGGGAGTCGAACCCAGCTTTCGCGCGGAATGTGAGAGTTGGATGGATGACAGGCGCGTGTACTAACCGATATACTATCAGAGATGCGAACTTCGCGATAGTATAGACTGACTGTTGCTCAGTAAGATTCGTGTGGCGGACTACCTACCGCAAGACCTAGGTACATAATGATCTTCCGAAGAATACTTTTAAAACAAACATGCTTCGTTACATGTTACATGTTGCTTTCTCGGATCTTTTTTTGACAACTTCGTTCTCGTTTACCTCGTGCCGTGCTTTAAGTTTCAAGGATTAAGAGTCCATGTAAGTGCATGTCCGCGTCAAATCGTCAGTCGATTTGAAGGATACTTCGCGCGACCCGGTGGCTGTTGAGGTTCGCTCGACAACTCAAGCCTGGCAAAACTGTTCTGGATTGTTCGATAAACGCAAGTTATCAGACTACAGCGACCCATCAAAGCCCCAGACGCCCTTGCACAAACCGAATAGGCGAGAAAGGCAAAGCCTCCGCGTCGAGCATCCCCGCCTGTATAGCACTATCGATATACTGCACAGCGCTAAAGCTGAACCACAGTCCGACCCACACGAACCCAGCCAGTCTCCAGCCCGATCCCGCTATTCCCAGGCGGTTCCCGGCACTGATGACCGCCTGTTCGAACGCGATACCAGCGGCTTGAAGGAGGAAGAAGGGCATGGATTTGCCACTGTGCTTGAAATCCATCATGGCGTCCCCGCCGCAGTGCATAAGCCCAGAAACAGCGAACGCGGCGACGAGGAGTGTCGCGTATGCGGCGAATGAGTTTTTGTTCTTCCCGAACAAGTTGCGCACGGCTTTGCCAACGGCCGTGACGTTCTGTCGAAATCACATTTAGAAGCCGCCAACAAGAGAGTGAACGGAATGTACCCTTGTAACCATTTGGTGCCATGTCCTCCTAGAAGCAACATGATCACTGTTCATCTAGTACCACAGAAAGACTTTACACACCCCCAGAACCCTCTGATTGTGTACGCGTTTTTCAGACTACCAAAGTTATTCGGCCAGTCCGAGGGTTCCGATAATCCCAAACTGACGTGAATGATGCCCAGGACTGCGTACTGCACGACGAGACCGCAGCTGATGAGGACGGCCGTCATGACAATCACGAGTGTACGCCACGGATATGCGAGGGTAAGAAACGGCTGCGCGGCTGTCGAAGAGAATACTTGGGGATTCCGAAGGATGTAAATCTGGGTGGCGTCCAAAATAACGTAACAGAGTATAGCGCGTCGCAGACTCCTTTTCACGAATTGGGTGCGCGTTTCCGATGGATTGGTATTGGGAGGCAATGTGCACTAAAACAATTGAGAAGAATCGCGAAAAAACTGACAACAATACTCACCTGATAATTCCACCCAATTCCGCGAAGGTTGAAGATGATGCACAAACACCAATACGACCTGTACCAAATCCCATATTGACTGGGATGCACTTTATCCGTTTTATGGCGGCAAGTCCTGACAGGATTAACGATGAAAAGCAGCACAAAGGCGGTAATCCAACCGCCCGAAAACGCACTCCCGAGGTAATAGTTCTGCAGGTTTTCGCCCGCCGTGGAGTGCAGCCCGACAGCGGTGACGGCGGTGTACCCAACGAAGAACAGGGCCTTCCAGAATAGTGCTAGGTCGAGTGCCAACACCGGCGCCAATAGTAATGTGGGCAGAGCGAGAAAGAGAGGATTGAAGGGAGGCCTGTGCGCGTTTTCCGTGGTGCAGCAGGGGGTACCTCGGCAGGACGTGGGCCTCCTTTTTCCATGATGCTCGTTTTAAGTAGCCGTTTTTCCTCGGTCGGTGGACGGTGGTAGAGGGAAGACCGACGCCGCCGGCGAATTCATGATCAGACACAACGTGCTGTCAGCGTCAACCTTCCATCGTCAAGCCGTAACGGTACACTACGGACCCCGAGTCTACGAAGGAAATATGCTCTTTACACAACGGTAATCGGTAAAAGCTCCGCGTCTAGCCGTATAATGGTAGTCTCCCTTAGGCAGACTCGATCAAAGCTGACACTTTGAGTATAATGGCGTCGTCGGATCCGACCCCCTTGCTGAAGACGCTTTTTGACCCGGTTAATGATGTGCTGGTGGAGACGGTTCCATCGTGAAATGCTAGCGCACAACTAAGTAACGACAATTTGAGTTTTCTGGACGAAAGTAACTTACCGCCGCCTCGACGAATATGAGCCGCCATCGACGAAACGAAGGGGATACATTTCGCAGCAACCAGGGAAAAGAAGCGCGTCAAGATTTGAGATCCGACAGTCGTCCCACCATCCCACCCACCCACCAGGAATAAAGCCAATTCTTGAGCCGGTTACACATCAGCCTCAGTCCCGGTTGGCCTCTCGACCAGAACCAGGACTACGACCATAGCAAACGTGGTGTTCTAGACTGCGTGCAATCCGATCCAAAAGCACTGTCAATGCGGTGCCGATTTCAAGGAGCGGATACAACGATACGGAAGCCCAAATTCATAATGTTCGCTTGTCGCTGAAGGCGTTAACAATTCGATGCATCACTTTGCTTTCATCGTTTAGAAATCCTCGGGAGAATTGATTGGGCAGCTTGTTGAGTGTAAGCTTACAAGAAGAAAAACCAATACCAAGACACTACACACCTTTCAAGTCTTCTTGGCTACCGTAGTCGACAATATCGAAATACAATACCCCTATTTGAGACCAGTCGCATCAGAGATGGCGCCACGAAGAGTTTGTGGGACCCACTCTGATTATTGTGCCCGTTCGGCGCAGTGACTCCTTCAAAACTGACATCGACGTAAATTACTAGTGCCCCACCTCCCAGAACAAACGCATTTCCACTATCTACACATCAGTCATAGTATGAGAGAATACAATGGAATGTCCATACCGGCACTATATCCATCCTCTCGCAGCCCCACGTCCACCACCGTGCCCCCGCTCCTTTTCGACAACAAACATGGCGTCTCTCAACGTAACAGGTAACCGTGTATCCTGTTCCACCGGTGCCGGCGTCGTCGTCGTCGTAGTCTTCTTCGCAGAAACATACGGCCGTGCCCAGCCACCCGTCGACGCCGGTGCTGTTGTCGTCGCTGGAGAAGGCGACGCAGCAGGCTTTGACTTTGCGGGAGTCGGGGAACTCGCATTGGCAGCGGTCATCCACGAATATTTTCCGCCGATGCCCGCCGCCTGACTCGCCACGGCATTCGACATCTTCTTGCGGACGTCCTCGCTCATGTTCCTCGCTGTTACGCCCGGGCCATCCTTCTTTCGCTTCTTCTTGGACCCACCCTCACTGCCGTCCTCAAAGCTCGTGTCTGCAGCGGCATTTGGGCCTCCTGCAGCCTGGGCGGCGAGTACAGCAGCATGCGCGGCGGCCATGTCTGTGCGCTCTTTTCGTTCTCGTCGTATGCGTGTCTCCTCTTCACGTTCAATCTTTTCGATAGCAGCGAGCTGTTTGGCGACATCGCTGCGGAGGAGAATGCTCCACATGGGCTGGTCATCCTCATACAAGGATGCTGGTCGGTCGAATTGTGTATCCGTGCGGTGGTGGGCGGCAGCGATCATGGCCGTGATGAGGTCCTGGAGGCGCGCTCTGAGTGCCAGAGCCATATAGTTGACAGAATCTTCGGGGACTGTTCGGATTTTATGTTCGGTGGATATGGTGCGCATGGTAGTCCCCAGGAAATGCGTGTCGAAGGATGGCTTAGTAGCCTGCTTCCGCGTCCGATCTTCGCTGTAGGCTGAGCGGTACATCATGCTGTTGGACTGTTGCGATCTTTGCAGCGATTCCTCCTCCGCCTACATGGAATTCAGTAGGACAATCAAGGAGAATGGCGGCGCACCTACCCGCAAGTCAACACCGGCGCTCCCTAGCGCATCATTCAACGTCGCAATATCCGACGAGTCCACTGCTCCACTGCCACTGCCACTCGCGTGCGCTGACTGCGCCGGCGCAACTTGCACTGGCCGCACCTGCTGAACTTGCGGCGTCGTAGGCGCAGATGTTTGGTATTGGTAGCCGGTATAATAAGAAAATGGCTGGTAATGCTGATACGCCGATGCTCTGCAGTAGAGCAGTTAGAGCGAGGTCAAGTAGGAAATTGAATCTATGTACGCCGTTGTCGTCGTCGGCTGCTGCTGCAGAGCAGGATCAATGGGAATGTCTATGGCACGGTCAATTCAGAACATTGCCGCGTCTGGGTACAAACGAGTAGTGGGCCATTGGGGGTATGCTGTCGGCGCCGGCGTTGCAGGAGGCGGAGTACTTGTCGCGCTATTATTTTCTTGTTTCGTTGGATTCATCGTGGTGGCAGGACGGAAGACGCGGTCGATCACATGTTTTCACTGACTACAATGTTACTAACCCATACCGCCTACGCTAATTACTTAAGGTACTGATACCCCGATATATAATGGAGAATGTATGTGCAAATGGCGATGCAGACCACGGCTAGCAGTCGCTAATACTTAAGCACTTGGGGGCAGTACGACAATGGCAGTGCGAACACGGACAGGGATTTAAATAATAAATTGATGGTTGGATATACGAACACATATAAGCTAATGGCGCCACATTCCAGTGAGCACGTCATATTCTATGACAAGCCATATCTAGGAGGGAAGGCGCGCAATGGTCATTGATCAAACCCACGCATCCCATCAAACTGAATGAGCAAATCCATCCCGTCCTCGCATAATCCGCGAAGAACAGAAGCGTCGTGACCATGGAAGAGAGCTTCATGTATACGCAACTCGTACAGCTCGGGGTCACCGGTACCTAGAGCAAAGTGGAACTTTTCGAGTTTTGATAGCCCGACCTCATTGCCTGCATGCCGGGCTTTGAGCATAGCAAGAAAGTCGTCGTGAGGTTCAAGGTAAGGAATACAGTCCGGGTCTGTATGATGAGTCACCGTGATGTCGAGTGAGACTAGTCGAGGGAGGAAAGTGACAGTATGCCCTGGGACAACCTCTAGAGCTCTCATAATGTCCAACATTTGTGTTACACTCCAATCATCTGGTGCAGGAACCTTTTCTTGAAAATTGAACATCGATGCCTCCAGCTGCAGCGTAGCAAGTTTGGTGGTCTGAGAGAGAATGGAGAGGAGAAGACGAGGTTCAGAGCGATGCAGAGTTAACGGCACCGACATAATCCGGAGCTCGGTGAGATTGCTTGCGCAATTGGAACGTTTGATGAGGCAATAGAAGGAGTAGAGTGTATCAGGATGGAGAGCACTATCTTTTCGGCCAACAGCAGCTACTTCCAGTTGGGGCAGGGTGAGATAATCGAGGAGATTGGGAGAGGCCGCTTTCAGGTCGCGAAGGTATGGGAGAGTTAGGGATTGCAGGAATGGGTCTGGCGTGCCTTCGATAACATCCGCACGAAGGCTTTCAAGCAACGGACACTGCCCAATCAAGTCCACACAGGCTCTGAAAGAACCGGCAGCAAAATAATCGTACAAACGCAAACATGCGATCTGTTTCATTGGAAGCTCGACCATACGAGGATTCCATCCTCTGAAGGTTACATTCACCAGACGGGGACAAACCATGAAAGCCGATATTACTGCACCTTCAGAGGGTACGGCGCGCAAATCCAAGCGTTCCAGCTGAGGCAGTCGCCCGCGAAGAGGTGCATACAGTAAATCCGGCCTGACTTCGTGATAATCAACCAGACGCGCTGTCCGCCATCGATGGGATTCTGCAAACACCTTCTCTCGCATACGGCGTAGGAAAGGAGAATCCCCAATGCGGTGAAAGTTGCAAAGGGTGATATCGAGCGAATGCTGGCGGGAACGCTCGAGGACAAAGGCTAGGATTTCTACATCCCTCTCAGAACCTTTCCATTCCGATGAGAAACGAAGCACAATGGACGACCAGCACGAAAGGAGAGACAAAGCAAGATTGCGCCAGACATGGCACACCTGGCTGAGTTGCCAAATGGTGCGGGAGGGCCAATCAAACTTGTGGTCGGAGTCCAAGGAATGTGCATGCAAGAAGATCTCGGACCAGATCTCTGGGGGATACGACGTTGTGTGGAAATGATATTTTCATAATTCTGTTTAATGTTTTTCAGCGCGTCTCGCTCTTGCTCAAGGGACTCGAGAGCAAGCCGCGCTGCAGTGACGGCGGCATCGACAGACAAGATATCCTGGTCAAGAACAGGCAGGATGGTGGTCTGGATATCAGAGACCTCTAGGTCTGTCGGTGGAAGGTTGGACACGGAAAGGCGATGAAAAGGGATAGCGGTTTGGTCGTGACGTTCAAGAAGAACGCTACGCCGAGGCAGAGCCCCGCATGGCGAACAGTTTGATTCCATAGACGTATGTCGCAATCTGTGATAGCGGGTGAGATGCCAGCGTGCGTGCAACAAAATAAACGAACCAGGTGCCCTTAACAGAGACTCGAAGTAGGAAGGACGGTTGTACTAGATCGGCAAGGAAGGATGACGGGAGAGGCGACGAAGGATGTTGGGAGAGGCGACGAAGGATGTTGGGAGAGACGATGAAGGATAACGATGAAGGATGTCGGAAGAAATAAGCGCCGCTCAACAGACGCGTCGCGGACAAGTGCGCCTGTCAGATGTGTAAACAAGCACGACGACGGTGAAGACGAGAACACACTTATGAGCAGTTAGATGTGCTGCTAGTCAACGAGGCCGGGGAACGCTAACGATATCGATGATGATGATGGTTAGAAGGAACAACCGTGGGCGAGTGATCACGAGCGCTTCCCTTTCTGTCCAGCGCCTTCGGCCTGTTGAAACGGGAATACCATCCACCAACCACACAATCGCCTCTTTACCTTCAAAAGTGCAGATCGTAGCAGGATGCAGTACATAGACTTCGTTTGAACCAAAAGATTCTCTCCTGTCACCGAACTTTAACTTATACAACTTTCAATTCAGAATGCGGCGCGCCGGAGAGGCCAATAGCTAGCTCAACTGTAACGCTGGGGTGTGCTTGAAGGCATCGCCGGTCTATTCTCGGAGCTTCCTGCACACCCTCGATATCACAACAATTCAGTTCGCTCTCTTCTTGGCCGGCGGCTTCTAACTATTGGCTTCGACAGAACGTCACCGCTGTTGGCAAAGCCGTGCGCGAAGAACAAGAACTCATTCGCCGCATACGCGACGCTCTTGGTCACCGCGTTCGCTGTTTCTGGGCTTATGCACTGCGGTGGGCCCGACGCCATGATGGATTTCAAGCACAGTGGCAAATTCATGCCCTTCTTGCTCGACGCGGAAGTTTTGCCTTTCTCGCTTATTCATTTTGTTCAAGGGCGTATGGGGCCTAAATGAATCGCTGTAGTCTGATAACTTGCGTTTATCGAACAATTCAGACAAGCGTTGCTAGTCGTTGGGTTGTTGAACGAACCTCAAGAGGCGCAGTGTGTAAGGTCACCGGGTCGAGCGAGGTATCCTTCAAATAGACTGACGATTTGACGTGGATGCACTTTACATGGACTCTTAATCCCAGTGAAAACCGGCTCTGGGCCCAGACGGGTGAGCTGGTGTGAGCCGTCCTCAGCCGTGCTCAGCTGGGAAGAGGCGAAAAGAAGCAGAACGTCAAACGGGCAGCCTAAATTTAGAACTGACTTTTGCAAATGTTAAAAGATCAAAAACACAATTGTGTGAAAAGTCCATGCTCTGAAAAAAAGTAGAATCAGCACACTATGTAATAGTAGTAAACAGAAAAGTTTGAAAACAAAATCGCAAGGTCGAAATCGATATTAAGCCGCCGCATACGTCATCAGCGAAGTGGTCCGTGCGCATCATATAAACGACGCGTACTTGGCGATTTGAATTTTGCCCACCTTCCTTTTCTCCCTCTTACCATCACCATCCTCTCAGTCTGAGCTCCGCACCTCCACAGTGCGGTCGCTGTGCTCAACGTCGCCTCCTCGTTATCCAGCCAATCTGTACTCACGAGCACGTCTGGTTTCAAGAACGCAAGATGATGCTGACGATGCACTTATCGCAATACGATGGGAAGGACGACGGTGCGTTACTGATCTCGGCCCATCTTGGCGCGAGCTGACCAACCGTTTGATAGCGCTGCCTGACTGGATGGCTGTTCGAAGTCTTTGCTTGGTGAGTGCCCTTAAAGCCTGTCTCCGGCTCTCTCCGACATCTTCGTAGACTTGTTGGTGTATGCGCTGCATCGCGCAAGGCCGTTTGTCGTGCGTGGCCGTTTCTGAGTGCATTGGGGCTAGGCATACATTATTACATATACCGAGATTGTTGTTCCAGATATCCAGCAATACTAGTTCTATCACCATCATATACAAACGGATGTGCCCGTCTGAGAACAGAAAGCAATTGCATGTCAAGCTGAACAGAATGGCCCTACTGAGCCCGGATATGCACAGACTATTAATGTTAACATGATCTGGGGAGCAGCGGCTCTGCCCAGATGACATCCGGGGCCCTCTACTCCATCCGGGCAGAGCTGGGGTGTTAGAGAATCTGTCAGTTGCCCGGATGAGCACGGAGGCGCACGTCTACGCCCGTGGTGGGTTTTCACTGGGCTTCAACATCTAACATGTAACAAAACAAAACGTTGGTGTTGTAAAAGTATTCTTCAGAATATCGTATTTTGACGCCGCCACACGAATCCTGCTGAGAAACACTCGATATTCACGTGGGGAATCATCTCTGATAGTATATCGGTTAGTACACGCGCCTGTCATGTCGGGTGTCAATTTGTTACGCGCGAAAGCTGGGTTCGACTCCCAGTCAGAGAGTAGAGCCCGCTCTTCTGATTTTGATGAAATTAGCGTGGCGCAGTCAACCTGCTGGAGGACCACGGTATCAATACTGACCCGCATGACGGCTGTAGTTTTTAGCCTGGGTACCTGCTCTAGTAAAGACAAGTGTTCCCTCATATAGAGCAGTTTTGAAACCATTTCGATACCGCCACATGCTTTCAACCACGTGATGTGGCGCAGCGTCGAGGCGCCCTGATCCCGCCTCTGTGCCGCCAATCCCTGCTTGTCCTCAGAACCACACCAGAGATATAGCTCCTGCAGCGCGTGTTTCATCTCGCACTAATCTCATCAGGCCATGCATTCGTTGAAGCCGAGGAAGTTTATGAATATCCGGGGATCATCCGACAATGTGGCGGCGGGATGCTCCATCCGCCATCCATGTAAATATTGGCCGCACTACTACGCTTCATGTACGGTTACGCCATTACCATGAACACTCCTGTTTCTAAGGTACGAGTAAAACTACAATTATTGTCATATTCTTCTAATCCTACGACGGAACAACACCCTTGAGCACAGCCAGCTCTGCATTTATGATGCTGCTGGTGGCTGCTCCAATGGAGACATTGTTCGCGAGAACGACAAACTTTATGTCGAGGACCTGGCACTGGCGAACGCGGCCTACTGATACACCAGCGCCGTCCTGGTAATACCGGTCGAGACGTGGCTGCGGCCGATCTGGCTCCTCGTGCACCTGTATGGTATGGCGGGGTGCGGAAGGGCATCCCAGCGCCTGGGCATCGGGACTGAAGGCAGCCATGGCCTCGCGAACCTGCTGAGGACTCGGCGGGGGTCTGCGTGCGAAACGCACGGAAACACATTCTGTGTGGCCGTCGATGACCGGGACGCGATTACATGACGCAGAGACGCGGAGGGGGTGGCGCGAGTGCATGTCGAAAGACTTGATGCCGTCGTCGCCTTCTGCGATGCCACCGAGTATTTTGAGTGTCTCCCATTCCATCTTCTCCTCCTCGCCTCCGATGTAGGGGATGACGTTGTCCATTATGTCGAGCGAGGAAATGCCCGGGTAGCCCGCGCCTGAGACGGCCTGCATGGTTGTGACTAGGGCTGACTCGATGGGACCGAATGCTTTTTCGAGAGCGGCTAACGGAATGACATAACCGGTGGTAGAGCAGTTGGCATTGGTTACGATAAAGCCCTTCTTTAACGGTGGTGAGTGGAGTGACTGCTGTTGGGGAATCATGGAGAGATGGTAGGCGTTGACGAGGGGTACGATGAGGGGTACATGTGGATCTCGTCTGAAATTTTTAGCATTGGAGAAGATGGCGAGTTCGGCCGATCTAAAGGCAGCCTCTACGCGACTTGAGTCAACACGATTTCAAGATCGAGGATGGGAGAGCGTACCGATATCGCCTGCAACGTCCGCGTCGAGTCCAGAAAAGACGATGGCGCAGTTTGCAAAGTGCTGTGGTGTGCACTCTACGACGATGAGGTCGCGCACGGTGGAGGGTATAGGAGTGGTCTGCTTCCATTTAACGGCCTTTGCGTATGGCTTATTCGCGGACCGAGACGATGCGCCAAGGGCGTCAATAACGAACCAAGGATGGGCGGCTAGGAGGGTGATAAATCGCTGTCCGACGGTGCCCGTTGCGCCTAGGACGCCGACCTTTATCTGGCGTCCTTCCTGCATTGTATGTCGTGGATATTTGGATAGAAATCGGCTAGAATTGAAATCAATATTGTCAGTGCTCGAGGATGCATGATTGAGAGCCATGACTGACACTGAGCCGCTCGCCTGATTGAGGAAGGGTAACCGGTCCTTTTTACCGCCGTACGTGACTGAAAACTTGCCCGAACGGGCTCCGCGGACTTTGAAGCGGAGTTTAAAATATGTGACTGAGCACAGCGTCACAGAGAGTGACACTGTGAATATTACCGCCAAGACGGCGGCGACGAAGACGAGGCTTTCTATGACGCCGACGACGACATCTTGCGCTGGACGACACCGGATGATGACACGTAGGACAAGACGTTTGACTTGGGACACGGAGGTCTGCTGAACTCGAACCTCATGAGTGAGGGTGCATGGTGTGTAGTCTCCATTTCTCGCTTAGCCACTATTAATCGCGCATATATTCAGCTTCGTCAAAGGTTACAGCGATGGTGCGACCGACCGACGAGAACGATGATATCCGGACGCGACCACATTGGCAGGCCGACGATGACACGAAGGCGACGCGCGCGCATACTCTAGGCGTTAATCGCTCGTATATTCAGCTTCATCGACTTCAAATGTCTTGAACTGCGTCGTAATGGCGCTGCGCAGGTATGACAGTGTTTACATCAACTAGCATCGATATTCGCAAAAGTTTCATTATTATTTGCTCGGACCGAGGCCCTTTTGCGGGCGATATGCTTCATCGAAGCGCAAGGAGAGAAATTGGTACGTGCTGCAGGCCTTAAAGCGCTGAGGTGACTTACGCCCAAGGACAGTCAATCCCCTTGGAAGTGCTAAATGATCGGAAGGTCGAGTCTAGTCAAGTCCTGTTGATATATATCAATCACAATCAACCAGTCTCAATGCCACTGACATTGGGAGCCCTCAGAGCTGGTCCTTTGTGAACACATTTTGTGAATCAATGTTGAGTTGCTGTTGACGCCAAGCCCAAAACGCAACGCGTTGACGCCGGCTTCGAAACCTGCGAAGACGTGACATTTCTTTAGACGAGATGGAGACGGCAGGCGGCCGCAAATACGCTCTATTGCGAGTCGCGACTTGACACAGGGAGGATATATGACATGTATGTGAGCGGCCTCTCAATCAACGTCAAGAAGATCTAACCTTTCGTAGATCAGCCAGTGTATGGTCTTAGGATACTTGGAAGAAAGTATTGCCTTCCTTCTTCGCTCTTTTTTTTCTCAACTACGGTCATCATCACGGTGTCGGCTCTCCGTGCGAAGTGCTCATGACTCGACCCCGTAAGGCTTGATAAAGCGTGGATTACGGCACGAAAATGAACACCAGGACCTGGGTATAGAGCTGTCAGCAGTTCGTAATCTCGTTGCTTGACCAGAGTCTTTCAAGAACTCGTCCTTTGGAATCAGATCGTGAATCTGGTGACTACCATTCCATGTGAGTAATTGCCGTACTTCTGCCACGGGACCGCGAGTTGTGACGTGTTTTCTTGTAGACTGAGAGTGCAAACAGAAATCCAACGGTGTGCCGTGGCGTATGCACGGGTACACACGTGGCGCGGTACTTGGCGGCCTAATCAGAGGCTGCTGGGATGCCATTCTTCCATTCTTCCTTCCAGACACGCATCGCGCCCTCACTTGACGGCCCGCTAGGTCGGTTCTCAGCCTTTCCGCGCTTCAAACATAAAGCTACTAGACACGGACCGACATCGGAGCCATTGGCGTACATGGAGGTTCACGCCAGCTTCTTTCTGCAGCTGACAAAGGGCGGAGACTTCTGTTGGATGCTCACGAGTACCATTCGCAACACATAAAGCCTCGCTTTCCGAGACCGAGAGCCCCCAGCATAGCAGAATTAATCATGTTGGGACTTCTGCACGCCCTGCTAGTCCTTGCGTCTCTTCGTCTCGCTGCTTCACAGGTGGCGGCCGAATTTTCCGGACTGCGTCAATGGTCCCCTAGCCAAAAATGGCGTCTGCGACACCTCTCTGGATCCAAGGGCGAGAGCTACTGCCTTGGTCAACCTGTTGACCGTTGACGAACTCATCGCGAACAGTGGCAACGTTGCCGCCGGTGTACAGCGCCTCGGTCTTCCTCCGTATGAATGGTGGAGCGAGGCTCTAGTAAGCTAATTTGGCTATCTAGCATTCTTTGAATTGACCTTGACATCAGCATGGCGTTGCTTTAGCCCGGCCTGAACTTTAGCGCTTCGGGCGACTTCAGCTCTGCAACCTCCTTCCCAGAACCCATCCTTACTTCGGCGGCCTTTGACGATGAGCTCGTCCATCAAATTGCCTCCATCATAGGCAAAGAAGCACGAGCGTTTAACAGCGCTGGTCGGGCCGGTCTGGACTACTTTACGCCAAATATCAATCCTTTCAAAGATCCTC